CGCTCATTTTTGCATCTTTTTTGCTCCAACCATTCCATTTTCATACCCCTTTGTCCGATCTCTTTGAAAAGTCCTATTTTTTAAAATTCTTGAAGACAATATCCCCTGATTTTTATCGAGATTTTTCGTAGGAGACTTTGGTTATCTAAGATGTAATTAACTATAAGTGCTTGTCGTTATAGGAAACTTTCAAGAACCTAACTTAATATAAACCCTATTTAATTCTTTGTATTGAATCGGGGAACTTGTGTGCTTATAATAAAATGGTTTCACAGACCAAACAGATGTCATGTATTTCTTATTTTGTTTGATTAAGCCCCATTCTCAAGTCTTGTGTTTATCTTTCAGGATAGATACATGACTTGAGGTGTAGTGCTTTTTCATCTAAACTTTAAAAGATATGAGATCTGTTTGATTTCATATTTTTCTTAACTTTTATATATATATATAGTCATGGGCTTATCTTTTGAGATAAATACATAGCTTGAGATTTAGTGCTCTTTATATATATATATATATATATAAATTAAATATCCCTCAGAAGCATGAGACGGGATTTCTATTCCGACGACCTACAACTACCACAGGACAACCCTCCTAAAATTGTGCCGACAAGACAATAAGTGCAAAGAAGAGAACTTCGAAGAGAATATATTAGTACTGAAAGTAAACTATAATGAGCGGAACACAAATTAACATCCACATCAACAAATGTCCAATGAAAATAAAAGATGAATAACTTATGTACATAAGAAAACATAACGAAAAGCAAACAAAAGCAGCACATAATAACTCCACCGCATCAATTGTCCATAAAGAAACACAAATAGTCAACTTGGAGAATGAGGTCCATCTGCATGAATATCTCTCTACGTGTCAGGCCTTCCAACAACTTCAATGACTTCATGTAGAATACCTTATCTGACTTAACTTCAGAGTACATATCAATAGCTTGAATAAAGTCAAGTACAAAGGGATCCTGTGAAGAACTAACCTAACTTTTAATTGATTATAACAATTCTTTTATTGAGCTTCTGACAAAAAACTGCTCTTTCCTTTTTTCTTTTCTGAAATCTAGGCTGCTTTAACTTGCTTGTGGACTCCTGCTCTCTATGACTTGGGTTGGGGACTCCACCAAAATCATCTAATTGCTCTGCCTTTTGACTCATCCAAAATGCCTGTAAAGTCGTGCTCACTTGGGGTGAATGTATGAGTTCCAATTGAAACAACACTACTGAACATATTGTCCAACTTCTCCTCTAGAACCAGATTAATGCCACTGACTTTGAATTTTCTAGTGGCTGGAACTGCCTACAACAAATGACTATTCTATTAGCTCAAGCAGCGTCATAGTAAATACAGTAAGATGGGAAGCATTCATTGGATATGTTATTACCTGTAATTTCTCTGCCCGCCAAATCTCTGAAGCATCTATTGTCCGCTTTAGAGGCTCACAACCCAATCTCATGGATCCTCTTTTTAGTACCTTCCATACATTCCAATCATTCTTTAGTTGGTTTCACTTGTTTTTAAATTTCATCATATCATAATTCCTTCATGTCATTTCTTTGAACTTTGTCATGAAATTTTTCCACCCTTAGTTAAAATAGGTGGTGGTTCTATTACCAAGTTCCATCTCTTTCAGACAAAGGTCGCAAAAAATATTAGTGACATCCCTATCTCACATAGCCAATGTTCTGACCTCATTGTTCTTACTCATTGAGTTTTTTATTAAAAGAAACGAAGATATATAAGAGAAAAATAAACCCAGTAAAATCATGTAAAAAAAAACAGCCAACAAAACTTATACAAAAGGCAAACACTTGAAGAAAACGACTAATGAAGGTCATACTTTGTAGCTCAAGTAGTAAGAAAGTAAAACACTTAAGAAAATAATAAAAGTAACTCAAAATTGATTGGGATGAGAACAGTTCCAACCCCTCAATTAAAACAAGTTAAAGCAGCCATCCACACATTCATATTTACATCCACAACCAACTCACACACCCAAAGCCAGGAGATCACACCCAAGCCACCTCACGTATCCACCACAACCAATCCCCACACACAAGCACACCTCACACATCCCCCATAACTCACGCATCCACTGCAACCAATCCACCACACACAAGCACACCTCACTCATCCACAACCAACTAACACACCCAAAGTCAGGAGATCACACTCAAGCCACCTCACGCATCCACCACAACCAATATACAACACAAGCATACCTCACACACCCACCACCAACTCACACACACAAAGCTAGGAGATCACACCCAAGCCACCTCACACATCCACCGCAATCACAACCACACACACAAGCACAACTCACACACCCACCACCAACTCACACACCCAAAGCCAAGAGATCACACCCAAGCCACCTCACACATCCCCCACAATCAATCCCCCACACACAAGCACAACTCACACACCCACCACCAACTCACACATCCAAAGCCAGGAGATCACATCCAAGACACTTCACACATCCACCACAATCAATCCACCATGCACAAGCACACCTCACACACTCACACCAACTCACACACCCAAAGCCAGGAAATCACACACAAGCCACCTCACACATCCACCGCAATCAACCCACCTCACACAAGCACACCTCACACACCCAAAGCCAGGAGATCACACCCAAGCCACCTCACACATCCATTGCAATCAATCCACATCTTGAAGAAATATGAATTGTTAGGCTAAACAAGATTTAAGAAAATGCATCATAAGAATCGTAAAGGAGCATTTACATACATCCCACACAACTTCTATGTATCTACATACATACCGCCGAATTCCTTTGCATCTATAGAAGGTAAGAGAAAATGGGGAAGCAAAATTTGTACAAAAAATAGGTATTTATATACATTCCACCTAATTATTATGTGTCAAATTGTGGTATTTACATTCACACAACCCAATTCTTATGTATTTACATGTCTAAAACCTGAACTTTACTTTCTTACATTTGCACCAACCAATTCTTTCATATCACATAAAAAATATCACAAACTGATATGCAGATACGTAAGAAATGAGTGGTATGCGTGTAAAAGGAAATCTGTAGAAAGGCAGAGCATGTTAAATGAATGTGGTAAAACTGATAGGCACCAAAATATCATGGCAATGCTAACTCCAATTGTAGAGGCTATAAAATATCTTCTTTCATCTCTAAATAGTTCAATTATACATAGTTTAGTAAATGCTCTAACCAAAAAAAATGTTAAGGAGAAGAAGGTGAATCGCAATGGATGAAGGAGAATCACAGAGAGGAGAAGGTGAATCGCAGCAGTGAACACAAACCTAGGGCACATATGAGGGATGGCAGGGAGGAGACGTAAAATCACACCAAATCAATCCAGGAGAAGGATAATCGAAGCAAAAGAATGGCACGGAATGAGGGACGGTAGAGAGGAGAATAAGAATCACACAAGATCGATCCAGGAAAAGGAGAATCACAGCAGAAGAATCAAAGCTAGGGCGTGGGTATGATTGCGATATCTAAAAGGATACGCGGGACACGGGATATGACTTGCGTTCCACATCTAATAATAAAAAATAACACACTTATCCTGAAACGCACGCCAAACACATGAAGCAAACACCCGCACGACATTTTAAAAACACATAAGCAGCAAATGAACCTTGAATCTTGAATATCTTATTATTCTAATTTAATTTTCAGTCGGATTTTAACAATCATGTATATAATGTATAGATTTTAATTGAATATTAAATATAGATAATTTCAATTTAAAAAATCGAAATATTCACAGAGTATATTTCCGATTCGAATTGAATAAAAATGTTAATTTTATGAATTTCACAGTAAGTTGTCGGGTTATCGGGGCGCCGAGTTTCAACTTTCAACTTTCAGAATATTCTAGGGTTTATAGAAAGCTCCGAGAATGCTGTTAATACTTGGAAAATGGCGGGGAAGAGCACGCTAGAGCTAGGAATTGAGGGTCAGAGGCATCTCGAAGAGACCATAAACGCCGCCTTCCAAATTCTATCCTCCATGAACGATGAGCTCTGCAATCCCATCCTCTGGGCAACGCCGTCCGCCACCAATGGCGGATCTGTCACCTCTACCCAGCTACCGGCTGGCGGCGGCGAGACCTCTTCGGAGATCACCTCTCATCCGACGGACGCCGGTTTAAGTGTTGGTGGACCAGGAGGATTTGGTGGGGCGGGAGGCGGGGCTCTTGACGAGGCCCGACTTCGGTATAAATCTGCGGTGGCTTCTCTTCGTGCTGTCCTTGCTGCCGTCCCTTCTTCCCAGGTGCGAATATAAGGATTTGCATGGCATTTTCTTCTGCTGTTTTGTATTTTGTTACGCTGTGCTGCGGAGTAAGTTGTTTTCTAGCACTCCGATTGCGAGTTCAGGGGAGAAAAGAAAGTTTTTTTTTATCAAGCAAAAGGAAAAGAATGGACAGGCATTGAATACTATTCTTTTGATGGTAGCTCTGGTTGAGAGTTTAGGAGAGAAAAGGAAGGATTTTCAAAAAGATGAAACATAGAAAGAAAAGTAAGGGAAGGGATTAAATTATCTTCTTGTGATTCATGCTCTGATTAGGTGTTGAGAAGAGAAAAGAAATGATTTTTTTAAGAGAAAAAAGTAAGAAAGGAAAGAAATTGAATTCCCTTAATGTGCTTGAACGTTTCTAGAGAGAAAAGAATCTAATTTCCCCTCTTCTTGATAAAAAAAGCTGTTTTTACAATGTTTTTGTCTTCTAATCACTAAAAGACATAACTTAAGGATTTACATCAACATTCCATCTACTATTTATGAGAAGATAAGCAAAGATCAACATCCAATGAAAGCCTCCAGATTCATTTGACACCAACCGATATATGACATCCACCAACACGAGAGCAAGAAAAGATGAGAGTTTGATTCTGAAAGAAGAAAATGGGACTTAGTTAAATGACTAGATTTCCGAATGGGAACAGGACTTATCACAAGATTCTTTCTTTTATTAGGATAATAACACTGAAAAGAAACATTGCCCATCTTTTCTTTCATTTCGGCAACCACTATTGATTGAGTTTGAAGTAAACAACATACTAATCTCTAACACATAGCTCTTGATATTGTTCAAGGTCTCTAGTATGAAATGCTAAGTTTAAAGCAGCGTAATCCATTATATTTTTAATAGAATAACTGAAAATTTTTGCTTCCATTGAGCTTTAATTTTTTATCATCTTTTCTACTATTTGTCTACGCCTCTCTTTTGGACAATAAAAAAAGTACTATATTTTTTCCAGAATTTGATCAACATGATTTATGAAGAGCAGGTTTGACACCTTAGACAATACTAAATAGGCATGAATAAAAATTTTAGTTTGTAAAGCTGATCTTAAATATTTAGGACAATGCTAATAATTGTTATGATGATGTGTTCAGTTCCTTGAAAATTGACTTTGATTGCTTAATAATGTTGAATTTAATTGGATAATTTTGTGTGCATTGACAAAGGCTATAGCCTTTGCTGTATTTTTCTGAAAAATTTCTGACTGGATAACTTTGGTTGGGTCAGACAACTGTAGGAAAGTTGTGAGTAGCAGAAAGAAGATTTTGATTTCTATTTAAAACTCATTGAAAGAGTAACACTTAAAAAATGTTTTGGATTTTGCTACATGACATGTTCTTAAATTGTAAACTATAAGTTCTCTGGTTTATATTTTAGTATGATATAATTTGTATGCTGCAAGGCTCTTAAGTGATTTTCTCAATTTAGGCTTTGAATTTTATTGATTTATAATTATTGGAGTAAAATTCGTTATAAATTTTCATAAAATGGACATTTTGGTAGGAGATTGGTGCCTTGGAAGCGAAAGTTGATCATGCAGAGATTGAGAGATTAGAAGAGCGTGCTGCAGTTTTAAGGAAGGTAGTTTCTATCCACATATCATATTCGTTATTCATCAATCTTTTTTGTTTTTGGAGTTTTTGAAATCTGATCCAACCATCCTGTTTAATTTGCTTTTTAATGCTACCAATAAAAGCATATTTTTAGAACTTAAATTTTATAGTTTGTTCTGTTGGAATAAAATGAGTTTCAGATGCTATTAAATACCAATTTTGGTTTTGACAAACCACCTGTTTTGCAATTATTTCAATTGTTTCTCTTACATTCTATTATTGTTATCCACAATATGAGATCCTAATTAATTAAGTTTTGTTATTTTGAAAGTATATTTATTGTTGCCTGCATTCTCTTTTTTTGTCCTCAGTGTGCGAAGTTGTAAATCTGTACTTCAATGTGACATGAAATTAGTGCAAAATGTAGGTTTTGAGAAACTCTAAAGGATTCAACTACTGTCTATCCAATGATTCTTTTTTTTTAGTTCAAATGACTATCCTCATTAAAAGCCCAATTTTAAATCAAAGGCCTGTTGCTTTGATAGAAGGTTAATAGGGATGCTTATCTTCCAACTTGTATGGATGCAATCACAGGGGAGTGAAATTCTTGATATCTAGCAATTTGTAGATCAACTATGGTAATTATAGTACATAATAACTTATTTATGAATCATAGTTTAGCTAATTGTGTACTTCGAGTAAAAACCAACTTGATTTATATTCTACATTATTTAGTTCTCATACTAAAATTAGCAAGTAGCAATATTATTGATAATATAGCTAGCTATCTAATTTGCTAAGGATTCTATCAATATTTTGCTTTCGTTCTTTGTCATTTTTTCTGTTGGCCCTTATATAGCTTTTTGATTTTAAAATGAATTTACCTCTATTTGTTTCTTTTTTCTTTTTTGTAAGTTGAAATACACCTCAAGATCTTTTCTATAATGTTAAAATGGAAAAGAAGAATTGCACATGATTTAGGATGGATATGTTGCCTTCCATATTTGATGTGTGTGCTGCTGTTTGTGTTTCTCATGTTATGGCTATACAAGGAACAAGCTCAACGTCATTGAGGAAATTTTTTATACTTTAAAACTTTTAGATTGTCATTGCTATCATAGGAAAATATCAGTCAGGAAAGAAAACTATATTTAGTATGTCATGTATGCTTAAATTGATTGTTTTGTAGACTTTGTACTCATTATTCTTTTATTATAAAGGGGTCCTCTAGTTAGTAAGGCACAAGAAAAAGCTTTTTTTTTAATCTAGTATCAAAATAGAACTAAGCCTAACCCTACACCCCCAAACCTTCTCTCTTCTTTCTCCTATGTCCTCGCTCTTTTTCTAAAACTCCTAGCTTCACTCCCACTACATGCATCTCAATGCCTGCCCTTGCTCACAAGTTCTATTTTGCGCTTACCTGCCTTCACATTGACATGCCATGCCCCGATGCTTGTGTTGTTGTGCCCACGCTCTTTTGCAGTCTCACTATCCTACAATTACACACTCTCATTCATCACTGCCCATAGCTTTACATACACCTATAGCCCCTAATCACAACCATAATTCCCTTAAAAAAAAAAAAAATTTCACAACCATAACTATTATAACTATGGTTTATTGGATCTATGATTCCTCTAAATCCTTCACTTTCTCTTTATTCTTGACGGTGTTTCCCTATGACATTCTCTTCTTTTTTTTTCCATGACAAATGTCTTATCCATATTTAGTACATTTATTAAACAAAATGAAACCAACAATTTTCAATGAAGCTTTTCATTTCCTCATGTGATCTCATGGAAATTCAATCTTATCAATTTCCACCTTTTGATTTGATGGACACTGTCTAATACATCAAATAAAAAGATTTTAACTATACTGTTCTTATATGGATGCTTGATTAGCTTGAACTCTTTGTTGCATCTATGACTATGAATAAATTAATAAAGTATGTGAGACTTTTTACTATTCTACATACTCTCATGACATCTCTCAAGTATGCACTCTCTACTTTGACATTTTTTTCTGGTATGCAGTGACAACTCTGTTTGCACTTACTACAACTTGAAGGAAAAATACCATCGATTTAAATATTTGATAGAAAGAAAACAAGGAGTTTCTTATGCATCTCTATAACTGTCTCGATTCCTTCGAGATAGCGAGCTACTTGCTTCATCTTTTTTTGATCATAATCATATTGCTTTTGTTGATGGAACAAGGGGTAGACATAGTTACCATATATGATCTAACTTTAGTGTCTGCATTTCTGGCCATAAATCCTGTTCATCTTGTTAGCATTATTAAAGGACAAATCACTTGTCTGGCCACTATTGGGAGAAGTATTATCATCCTCCAAGAGCTCCTATGCCTTCATCACTAGCATTGTTTCAATTGATTCCACATGTGCTCTTGGTTTAATTTCGACTTAACAAGAGGCTATGACCACAATTGAAAGCAGTTTTAAGTTTATGATATCAATATCTAATGTTGTTTCCTTCCGTAGCTCAACTTCAATTGCTCATTTTGATATATCTTGGATTTTAGATTTTAGCTCTTCTTTTCATATTATAAGTAATTCATAATTTTTTTTCTTTACTTATCACGATGTCTCTTTCTCTGTTTATTTTTTATCTCTCTTCTCCAATATTCGAAAAAAGGATCCAATTTTCCTTATTAACATTAAACATTGATTTATATGCTTCACTTTTTTTTTATATAAATGTTGTCTTCATTGACTTACCAAATCTCATAAATTTTCGTTAACTTTTTAGTATTTTTGGATCTCAACATTATGATGATAATTATATAAGATGTTGAAGTTTGAGGCATCAATTACGTTGCTTTCATCATCGTATTAAACATTTTTTCTTCTTAGTTAGTAGCACTATCTTATAGATCATCATCTATCACTATCTTTGGGGATTCACCAACATACCATTCGTTGCTTTAAAAGTTGAATATAACGCTTGTGAATATTGTAAACATCATCACTTTCCCTTACCCTTGTCATTCTTTCCATTTGATTATTCTTCATTTGACTTGTTACTTGCATTCAAATATATGGGAACTGTGTCTTGTGTCCATTCAATTAAGTTTTTACTCTTTTCTTTCCTTCATTGAGGACCCACCAAGGTTACTTGGGTTCTTGTTGAATTGTTGATTAGAAGTCTCATATATATTTAAAATTTTTTTATTAAGAAATAAAACTATATTTAAGTAAGACTTTTTAAATTCAAATTAAAACCACTCACATTGCTAACACTTTTAGCCGTACGAAATCTTTCATTTTACTCATTTTGTCAAAGAATGATATTATAGATAAATCATGATGCTTTTATATATCACAGCCGAATGGAGTAGCTTCACATGGACACCAATATCTTCTTGAACATAATCACATCTCAATCATTCACATCCATATTTCCTTTTTTTTGGAAAATTTAGTGTCACTGTATATTATTTATGTAGGAATCAAGAATTCAACAGAGTACTTTATTGATATAAAAGGGGATATATTACACCTTACAATAGTCCTTAAATAGGAAAAATATGAAAAATGAAATAATATGAAAGGAAAAGACATAATTCATAATAATTATGAAATAACGGGAAAGGAAATAAGCATAATTCTTAATTATTACTGGGAGATAAATAGAAAATATAAAATAGAAAGGTCAAAAAATCGAACCATTTTAACATTTTCCCTCAAGTTGAAGCATAGATGTCAATCATGTTCAACTTGGATTTGAAGATGTCAAACAACGGACGAGGAAAAATTTTTATGAGAATAACGACCAATTGCCCTGAAGATGAAATGAACAAATCACAAATCTCCTTGCAATCAAGTTTCTCCTTGATAAAGTGACAGTCCATCTCCACATGCTTGGTACAATCTTGCTGGACCGGATTATGAGCAATGTTAATGACAGTTTTATGGTCACAAGACAATTGCAGAGGTAGCAACCGACATACGTAACTCAGTGAGTATAATGCACAAGCAGAGGGCTTCACACTCCCAAGCCCTAGAGCGAAACTCAGCTTCAGCACTGTTACAAACAACCATACTTTTTTTTATACTTTTTCAAGTGACGGGCTTCCCTAACCTGAGGTAGATTGTTTATCATTGAGAGACCTGACTTAATCAACATCTGTATAAACCGCAACAAAGCGGGAGCTATGATGAGTGAAAGAAAAACTTGAGCCCGATGCATCTTCTAAGTAGTGGAGGATCCAATGAACTGTAGTGAGATGGTGCTCGTAGCGGTCATGCATAAACTGACTGATGAAATCCACGTTATGACAAATGTTCAGACTAGTATGAGCGAGGTAAATGAGCTTACCCACGAGGTATTGGTAGTAGGTATCTTCACTGGAATATCATTGGGAACATTCAATAATTTTTAAGTTGGTTCCATCGAAATAGCAACCGGTTTGTAAAGAAGGTTGGTCTCAGTCAATAAGTCCAACACATATTTGTATTGGGAAAGACAAATGCCCGAGGGACTAGGCTACTTCCATGCTTAAGAAATATCGTAAGACTTAAGTTTTTCATTTCAAAAGAAGTGGCGAGGATGCCTCTGAGAGACCCCAAAGCTGGCAGATCATTACTTGTGAGCACAATGTCGTCGACATAGACGATGAGGATGTCAATACGACAACTTGATGAATGTCGAAAAAATTGCGTTTGATCAGATTGGGTCTGAGAGAACAACTACCACTAGGGTGAACTTGCCGAGTTAGGCTCGTGGGGATTTCTTCAGTCCATAGAAGGATTTTTGCAATTGACACATTTGTTCACGGGAAAAAAACAAGTCAAATTCCGGTTGGAGTGACATAAACCTTCTCAATGAGATCACCATTACGGAAAACATTCTTTTCGTCCAACTGAATGGTCAATCCAGATTCACGACTAGTGATAATAGGACCCAAATGGTATTTAGTTTGGAAACCATAGCAAATGTCTCTTCATAGTCAACTTCATAAGCTTGAGAATATCCTTTGACGACCAATCGTGCCTTGTTACGTTCA